CAGCTGGATTTCCTCAAGCAAGACTCAGCCGTCTATAGGTTCCACATCCTCCTCCAAACAATGCCGCCGACTGGGGACAGTGTTTCCAAATGCATGAGCCTATGGGGACATTTGTCATTCCAACTCCCTCAGGCACTAAGGCAAAACACTTCAGTACACTGACATGCCGTCTGTCTGTCAGGGAACAGACTCAAATCCACCCTCTACTCTGAAACAGAGTTTTTGAAGTATATCCCTGAGTACTTTGCACTGAGGAATCAAAATGTCTGCCTATACAACCTCAGTGTTTCATGTTCCAGCATCTGGAAAGGAACCAAATACAAGCTCCAGGGATGCTTGAAGATTATTTTACAAGTGGATGATTGTTGTATCTGAGACTCATTTTGTTGTCCAATCATACTCGAGCAAAAATAGCCCTGTCAGTTGGTCTGACCAACCCTGAGTGATCCGAGAGTATGATGTTCTGAGTGTGAATTATCCTCTATAGACTGGTGTATCCGAACACTTGCTCCAGAGCTAGCTGGGTTGTTTGGGAAGCCTGTGAAACCATTAGGTGTTAGAGCCTCGCTGAAGGAAGTAGGTCTCTAGTGGCCTTGGGGTTTTCTGACCTATTTGCACTTCTCTGCTTCCTGAGGACAAAAATATGGCCACCCCCATTGTGTCCCCGGTACCATTCCTTCCCCGACATGATGGGCCATATGCCTTTTTATCCTCCCTCCCTTGAGCTGATTGTTGTCAGGTGGTTGATCCCAGCCATGAGATAAGTAGTGAATACAAAGGCCGACAGACGTATGTCTGTACGTCCTTCCAGTTAAAAATACAGACGGAATGATAGAAAGACGACACCACGCATGGCTCACTCTTTCATTCTGGCCATTTGCTGATTCAGGCAGCAATAAAGCATCATCCAAACATCGAAAAATTCTCAGTTCTCTGTAAGACAAAGTTCAGAGTCATGCTGAACCTATATTAGAAAGACGGATTGATGATTATTTCACTACAATACACACCACTAGCTGGCTTTGGGCCATCTGGGGAACCAATAAATGAAGGTCATCTGGTTACACACCTACATGCTTATGTGGCTGTATTTTTATGATACTTTAACACAACACTCCTGGAAAGAGGGAAACGGTTATGTAAAATTCAGAGTCTCGTGCTCTGTGATAGAATATCTGCGAGCCAACACCACAGACTGATAATGTTCAAGTTAAAGGGTTCTCCCTTATTTGAGAAACTGCAAGATAATTGAAGCCAGAAGGGGCTTTGTCTTTGTCCTACAAATTAGAAAAAAAAAATTAAAGGAATTTTTATGGGTCAAATTATACTGCGTCTAGTATCTCAGCCTGAATACTCTAAATTGAC